ATGTTTACATACTATACAATACTTATATCCTATAACTATAATTATTAACTGTTGGGTGGCTACCTTAGTGGGCGCCTCACAATTTAAAAAGCTGATGTTGATCAACGAGCAGCCCATAAAAGCCAGGAAGCTGAAAGTTTGATTGTTGTTACCTTACGTGATGTAGGAGCGCGTTGAGATGCATGTGTGGAAAAATCGCGACTAATGCGGTGAAATAAGCGGACGTTTATAATTCGGTTTTAAAAGTATCTCCACAAGACTTACATTGGTGGACGCTATTGATTTCAATTCTTGGTTCTTTATTCAATTAGCTTAAAGCTTGTAAAATTTAACCTTCGATTTAAAGATACTACTCACTGTCTACAGTCTATTGATAGTTATAGATTTTAAGTCAATGTTTTCTTAAAGAAAACTTATTGTGTAGGTTATTGAAAAAATCTCATTGTTATCATACAAACTTCTAGATTATTTTAAGCGTTGGTTGCTACAACACTCATCAAATTTCTTACAGGTCGAGCAACATTAAAGTTATTGATAAACGCATATTCTATAATGTAACGGCTAGAAGAAACAGCAACCGAAATAAGGCTATATCAGCCAATTTAGAATACATAAACATATATATTTTGAATTGATTTGAAGATATCTTTCTCAATTCTTAGCACAATAAAAATGACAAGTAAGAGGTTCTAGTCGGGAGCTCCCGACTAGGGAATACCCTGAACCCTCTCATTCCAACACCAAGAGCATTTCACTCAACGTTTGAAGTAATAAAGATGAATTTAAAAAAATAAACGTTCCCTTGGCAGCTACACCAGCCAAAGAAAAAAAAATGTTATCCCAGCTAGGGTTCGAACTCGCAGCAGACCGAAACACTTGCTATGCCTCTACTCAACAGCTACACCAATAATTAAATATTATCGAGAAAAAAAGAATTAAAATAGCAGCACAGAAAATAATCGCAATTGCAATGCTATTGGTATATGTATGTATGTATGTATGTATGTATTGTGTGTATACATGTATAGAGAAATTCTTGGATTTTGCACCCCATCCAATTGCGCAGTAAAACATAACTGGGGTTTTCTTAAAGAAATTTTCTACAGCATGTCTTATTGTACCATATAATATTTGTGTATCCTCAAAAAGTCAATTGCATAAGAAGTCTGGTGACTGTAGCTCTTAATATTTACCAAATGAATCGATATTTATCGATTGCTCGTAAACGCACTAAGTTATCGATTATCAAAAACAAACTCGATCTGTTTAGGTACCAGAAGGACCTACAGCTCAAATTTTAAGTCTCTAGCTCTTATAGGTTCTGAGATCCTTGCGTTCATATATACGGACAGACGGACGGACGGACAGACAGACGGTCATGGCTAGATCGACTGGGCTATTGATGCTCATCAAGAACATATATACTTTATGGGGTCAGAGATGCTTCCTTCTGCCTGTTACATGCATTTGGATTCTGCACAAATGCAATATACCCTTATACCCCTTTTTAATGGGTTCAGGCAAAGTCAATCTAAGAACTTAGATGAGTAACGCCATACAACAACATGCTGCCAAAGACAATCTAAACACTAAGATGAGTAACCCATACATTTGCATGCGACGTAAAATTTCTAGCCTGGCTTCCTTAACTGGCCTTTACGATTTCGCACGACATGGCACCCGAATGCTGTTCATTTAGACGAACTAATGCCGAAGTCATGGCTTGCTGAATATGACACTAGCAGCAAAACTAATCGAAAACGAAATCTGTATCATTGCGCTTCCACACCTGATAGAGCGAAAAAGCTAAAAGAAAAAAAGGAGCACAATAAAGTTTGACTTCGTAGACCCCCAAAACCCCAATAAACAGAGGCACTCGAAATGTATGACCTGCATAACCTTATTCAATCAATGTTTTGTCGTCTGCGGACTGTAATAGATGCTAATGGCCAATATACTTAATATTAGTACCACAATGGCTGCTTCCTAGATTAAGTTATGTATATATGTATATAGTAATAGTTTGCATTTTGCAAAGAATTATTTGACAACGCAATATTTGCCTTATTTTAGTTTTGACTGTTTTTTTTTTACATTTACGTTTTGAATTTTGTTATGTTTTTGGCTTATATCTATAAAGAATACTTAGAATAATAATTATATGCAAAGAAAAAATTAAGAAGAAATAGTTTAAGTCGGTAAAATATAAGATTAACAAGTAAGAGGTTCTAGACGGGAGCTCCCGACTAGGGGATACGCTGAACCCTCTTATTCCAACACCAAATAAATTAATAAAAAAAGTTCCCTTGGCAGAGCTCGAATTTGCAACTGACCGCATTACCTACTGTCGACTCTACTCAACAGCCACACCAGCAAAAAAAAAATAATAATACTTTCCCCGGTAGGGCTCGAACTCGCGACAGACCGCACCACTTGCTATTCCTCTACTCAGCAGCCACACCAACAATTAAGTACTTATGATAAAAAGAGGAATTAAATAACATTACAAAAAAAAGATGCCTTTACCATGCTATTAGAATGCGAAGCAGACGCGTATGAATGTGTGTGTGTACATGTATACAGAAATTCTTAAAGCTGCTGCCTCATTCAATTGCGCAGTTGAATATAACTTTGGTTTTCTTTAACCGATCTTTATGAAATTTTAAAAACACAATATCTTATTGTACCATAGAATATTTGTGTATTCTGAAAAAATCAATTGCATTTAAATTGTGGTTTAAATTGGTTGGCAATAAAAGTTGGGTTATAAACTTGATTTATAGCTCTGCGGTGGTAGCGGGGAGGTAGCGATAGGTATGAAATGAAAGATACTTGAAATATCTATAATATTCTAGAAGCAACATATCATGTATGGTGGCTCTAGCTGTTATTATTTACCCAATTTGCTAAAAAAAAAAAGGGTGTCGATATCGATTTTTATCGATTGCTTTGAAACGGAGTAAGTTATTGATTATCGGAAACAAACTCGATCTGCGCGGGAACTAGGATACATCTAAAATTTCAAGTCATTAGCTCTTATAGGTTCTGAGATCCTTGAGCTCATACATACGGACGGACGGACGGACGGACAGACGAACATGGCTAGATCGACTCGGCTATTGATGCTGATACTTTATGGGGTCGGAGATGCTTCCTTCTGCCTGTTACATACATTCGGAATTTGCACAAATACAATATAACCTTATACCCATTTTTAATGGGTTCAGGGTATAAAAATGAATTTGTGTGATGTTTTTCATTTTGCAAACAATTACTTGACCAACTGTTTGTACTTATTTAAACTCATATTCTTGCTATAAGCACAGTGCGCCTTCGCTAAACGTAACCCATTAAACTTGGCAAAAAGTTTATAGGCACACATTCAACTTTTAATAAAAGTTTACATATATTTTTTGAGTAATAATTCCATAACGTTAAATTAATATTTTTTTAACGGAAAATTTGGGTCTACAAATTGCTATAATATAAACTTTGTTATACAGCAGTTTCGCAAGATCTTGAATAGGCTGCAGCGTCTATCTATACTAGATTGCATTCATATTAAAAAGTATATAATGCCGATTTCGTCTGTTTCAACTTTTGTCTTTGCCTGATAAGGCACATATACATACACGTTTATGTACATGTGTACGTACCTAGTACATTTTCTGGCGTATGTTGTTGAAAGTTATAAGTTTTAGCAAATCCATTTTTCTCTACTTACCCTTTTAATTATTAATGTAGTATAGATTTGCCTTAAATCCGAATTCCAGTTTGCATTCGAATACACAATCATATGTACATACATACATATACACATATTTGCTTTTAATAATCCATTTGTATATATTTATATACACATGGCCTTCATCAGAAAATCCATTTTTTTAAAACAAATATATATGTACATATATACATTGAAGTACGATCAGTGATTAGAGTGGACCAAATTAACTAGGGCTATAAGATGTGATTGGTGTGTGGATAATTAAAAAGGCAGAATAATTTTTTTAATGCATACTAGGAGCACGTAATAAAACCGGTTGAAAAATCGTTGTTTTCTATGTAAATTGTATGAATTCAGAAAGAAGTTCGTTTCGTTCATCCTAAAGAGTTTGTTAGCAAATACAGTTCAATCTACTGTTCGGACAGTACTTAGACTTAATCAATTGCAATGGGATGCCTATCTCGAGCTATTCAGCTCATAATATTAGTTGGCCTAATGGCATCTGTAAAAAATACTGCGGTGTATGAATACGAAAAGTGGCCTCAAAGCGGCAATGTGATAATCAAATTAATAGCTGTTATGGTTGAACCCATCAGTTATATACAGAAGAGTCCCGACAATGACTTTTTAGTTCGTATCTTCAACTTGTTTGGTGATGTTATATCTGAGCTAGATGAAGTTGGCGAATTTAATGTTGCTCAATCATTTCGGTCGGTTTTACGAAATATTGAAAACGTCAAAAACAAATTGACTGGTGTTCCCCAGAATATTGAATGGGCATGCAACGTTGGAAATAAAAATCTTTTCGATCTGGCAGTAGATTCCAAACAATGGAAAACGAAGCTTACAGATAAGAAACGTATTTATAAAAGCGATTGTCATGTTGTGGAAGACTTGATTTACATGGGAATTATACAATTGCATGATTGCTGCAATGTAACCATAACACCAATTATATCAATATGCCAGAGGTTTCGTACTCTACTAGCTAATGGTTCTGGTTATATGTCTAATATGGGTCATATTCTCAATCGCATTAAGATTTGCTTGGAGAATAAGTCTATTTATTTAGAATATACGATTCGATTTTATCATTTTATTAACAGTGAGATTAATAATCTTATTCGTAAATTTATTAGACTACTGCATATAAAAGTTATGTACTCGAAATGTTGTATTTCATTGGCACTAGCCCAAAAATCTGAAAAAAAAACATAAAAATATAATAAGGAAGTAAAATATTTGTCTTTTATTAAAATCAACTTATTATAGATTGTTTTAATGGGATATATGCTAAACCCAGGTCGGTAAAATGTTGAATTTATTATTTACAAATATTAAATAAGTCCTCGATTTTTTATTACAAAGAAGTATACTTATTGTGCTGCGTTGTAACATATGTAGTTTTTCTGGGCGCACTGCACATTTTGTATAGTGCAGGAGTTCAGAAATTCTATTGATATATTGAAAATGATCGTAGGAAAAAAATCTGTGCTGGTACTAATTGCGTATTATATAAACGTCCCCGAACCCATAAATTGTACATATTTATATTTTTAATATATTATATATGTATGTATACTTTTAAGCAGAATCAATAACCGAGTTGATATACATACATACATATGCATATACAAAGGCGTGCCCGGTTTACGTCTGTATCTACGAAAACAAGTCTCAGTCATAAACATATCGCATTTAAATCGTGTTTTATTTTGTGCAGCCAGAACAACGATCAATTAAAAAGTAAGTTCTTGTAACAACAACAAGATTTTTGTTTTCAGTATAGCTAGACAAATCCCGGGATTTATTAGTGTTACCGTGACCCTTATATATAAGCATATTTTATTATTATCGGTCTAGTATAGCATTAAGCTCTTTAATAAGTATTCTTTTTGAGGGCTAGAGAGGGATTTTATCTTTGGCGTGTCGAAGTCACCTGCTCTTTCTTCTGTTTGGGTTTTCAATACAAGTTTAAAGCAGATTCTCGGCCTCATGTTTTTTTTTCGCACTCAATATATTTAAATTTATTTTTGAAATCAAAAACTTAATAAAAATATTATGCTCTGTGCATTATCGATACGTTTTTATTTATGCTGTATGCCTGTTCCTTGTACGCATTCATCGTAAGACTTCCGAATTTGTAAATGAACAATCACGACTTGTTGGGAATAAAATAACATGGTTGAAAATGTCAGTAAATAAAATAGTATAACAAATAGTTAGTACATAAAATATTTTCTGCAATATTGCAAAAACTACATTGATGATGTTTGCTGTTTACATAAATTCTATTAAACATCAACTGTGTAATATCAGTTGCCAATAACGTGAAATTCTGGAAAGAATATCTATTATCACCGCATAAAAAATGTTTTCCCCATTTTTTGTAAATGTACATTATTGACAGCAATAAGAACGTAAGTACTCAAAATAAAACTCTCGCCAGGAAGTACTATCAGGCAACGAGTATGTTTATTTTGAAGCAAGCGAAATCATGTTGAAATTATAATTGATGTATGTATGTATTTTGTAAGGTAATTCTGAATTGGTGGTAGAAAAGTTGATTCTTTCGAAGCATTACGATATTATTAATATTCGTTTATATTATAAAAACATCGCTTTAAGCTCTGATGCATTTGACTATGTGGAAAGTCTTGAGGTATGCAAGCATCATAAGATTTTACTCCAGTCAACACACCTTCTTCAATTTGAGCTTGACGTCGCACTCTAAGTGCTGAAACGCGACCATTTTTTATTTTAATGTCAAAAAATATTTCCAACTCCTCAATTTTACTAAATAATAATTCAAAGTCACGTTCAGCATTTTGAAGAAATTTACATCGAATTTCATAATTTCCAAAATAAAAACAGTTGAAGAGTCGTTGAATCCGAAACTCAAGCTGCCGCATAACATATTTGCTAGTAAGCTCAGTCATGGCGAACACGTCAAATGCAACGTCAAGACCGTGTCCGGCGGCACATTTAAAGATTTGGGACGAATAAAGTTGGGAAAATTCCATGTATTCTTTACAGCAGCCTATATCACACTTAAATTTCCAGTTTTGCAAAATAAATCGTTGAACATCTGCGTAGTATGTAAAGGTCTTTTGAGTCGCGAATAATATGTTCTGTGTGTATTCCAGTGCTTCGTCAATAACCTCGGAAAACATTACATGAAAAAATTCCATTTCCGCAAAATAATTGGTTAGTAGTAATTTAATAGCAGTAGGTTGAGTTGCTGGAATTTGGCGAAGCTGTAGCAACAGGGTATAACTTGAGTTCTTGGCAATTTCGAAGAAAATCTCAGAATCTCGGGCAAAAAATCTAGCCACGTCGGCCGCTGTATAAAAAAACACCGATAATTCATATAATTTTGTTAATTGATGCTCTGTATTTTGTTGGGTATTGTCTATGAGAGATAGCAAAGTAGACGTCGTTAGATTTTTTTGTAATTGCTCCAAAAAATTTCTTAGTTGGTTTTGTAATGATTGCTTAGAGGCCTCCGCTGATCTCATAGCATTATAAAATTGGATCGGGATATACTCTCCATTAAAAGTTTGCGTCCATTTATCGTGTCGAGAAAAAGGCTTGCTTGCATATTTACTGGATTCAATGGATTGTAATGTTGCTGCTACACACAACAGCAATAAAGCAATATAACTCCAATGGCTCATCACTACCACTAAATGGGACAAAATGTAAAAATTATTTAATACATTCGCTATTAATAAAGTATACAAACTTGGCATACTTACACATTTTTTTACAAGTAAATAAACTTATTGACGATTACTGTTGAAAAGCCGAATACCGAATGACGTAAAACGAACGTACGTTCAAATATAGAACATATATGCTGTATGTGCAAGCATTAAGAGATCTAAAAATAGATTATTTTTCAAATTAAATTGAATGTGGTCTTTTTGAAATTGTTAAAGCCAAACAATTGGTATTAAGCATGTATAGTCATGTTATTTATATACTTTTTAAACTAGATCGATTTTCGCGCTTGACTGGCTATTCTATTTTCAATGTACCCCCTAGTCGGACACCCGGGGGTAAAATGTTTTAGTTCTTATATATGGATCTGAAACCGGTTAGGGTTTTGTGGATTTTGTGGATATGTTAAATTCTTAATCAACATCAGCAGTCCATCCAATCATGTTTTTATACTTGTCTGTCCGCCGTTCCCATTAAAATTTAAATGAATGAAATTATAAAGTATTGTCTTGGGATTTTTATATACGCTGAACCCATTGAAAATGGGTAAAAAGGATATAATGTACTTGTGCAAGTGTATGTAATAGGCAGAAGAAGGCGTCTCCAACCCCATAGTGTTTTTAAATTCTTGATCAGCATCAATAGCCGGGTTGATCTAGCCATGTCTGTCTGCCTTTTCATATGTTTAAACACAAGGATCTCAGAAACTATAAGAACTAAAAACTTGGCAGCCGAACGCCGGCCTCAAAAGCCGAACATTCAGTATGAAGCCGCATCTCGCTCAACGCATAACGTCGCGGCTGATGCGTTTTCTTAATATATGTATGTATGCCATTTTTAAATCCTTACAGCCCAAAAACATATGTGTGTATGCATGTGCCTCGCTCATTGCTTTGCGCACTTGCGTCCATCTCTTTCTCCCTCCCCGAGATCTACAAACATTCCTATGTTTGTATTGTGTGGATGTGCGCACAAGTAGATCGCGGCGTTTGTCGCCAGAGGTTATTTCTTCAATTGTGTGCCTTTTGTGCCTGTGGTAGCAATAGGCACTCACATTTAAATGCTCTATCATGTATTTCTTCGTCCAGTCAGGCATGATGAGAAGAATTTGATCAAATTTTATTTAATACACAATTAATTGACCTAAACAAAATATTTATATTTATTTTCTTTTTTCTGTAGGGACCTATTTTGCTTAAAATACAAAAATATCTTAGTCGTATTTCTGCCAGGGTAATTCATCGTTGGCTTGTCGAAGAATTTAAGAAAGACCAAAAATTGAAGCACACTCTTTCAAGTAAGCAGTTGTGTGAAATTATTAAAGGGTTTGTTCATGTGCAAAATTGCTATTTTCCATGCTTGTTGTAGGGGTAAGGATACCTGATCGCTGGCATGTGTGCATGAGAACTAACCACGCACACTAACACACTTTTCTATATGGATGGAAGCATTAATGCGCTTGTGTGCGTGTTGGTTGCCTGTCTGCCTGCCCGATGCAAATTTGACAAAATTTGAAGTTTTTGGCATTTGTGAATTTCGAGCTCTACACACACACATATACACACTCACAAATGTGTGCGAATGAGCTGATCAAATGTTTGTCGTGAGGCAGAGATATTTTTATCAATGGGTGCTTAAATTTAGGCGACTGACACTGTTTTTGTTTTTTTTTTGGCATGCCTGCGGTGGGCTTGCAGCCGCAAAAGGTACAAATGTATAAAAAGGCAATGAAAATGGTAAGGATCCAGACGCAAGCTATACATTCTGATCGTTAATAGCCTGTCATAAAACCCTTTAAAATCATTAAAAAGAAGGGCGCGCGTCAGACGCGTGCCAATAATGATATTTTCTTTGCGCCCATGATCTGCCCATTCACAGACTTTTTTAATGGGGGTCTGTGTGTAGAGGTCCAAAATCAGAAATCCTAAAATCTTGTTAAATTTGCATCGGGGACAGGCAGGCAGGCAAGCAACAGGCAAAGCGCATAAATGCTTATATTCATATACAAAGTATGCAAGTATGCGTGAATAGCGAGTCCAAAATATTTTAAATGCACACATGGCAACGCTTGGGTACCAACGATAGCGAGCTAAAATGCAAGAATTTCGCATCGACGTGGTAAACCCTTTCGCTATTTCATATTAGCCGTGCCTTCAAAAGGGTAGAAATGCCTCAGCATTTGAGACAAATTGAATTTGTGCGCAGTTTTGCTCGTCGGACAAATACACACACACACACATTGAAACGATCCCTAAACATAGAGAGAGCATTAAGAGCTGAGAGTAAGTGCGAATGAGATAAAAGTTAACAGCGTTGCCGTTCTATCGCACAAATCATATGGAAGAGAGTGCGCTAAGCACTTTCCTGTAGAGTAAGCGGCTCAAAAATACATCATATGTATATCTTACTCCCTTACTCGCGAGTTTGGACCAGATGCCTCCGATACATTTTGTGACTGCTTTCCGGTACTCATGTCCAGTCTATACGTTGTTTGATTAGTGGTATAAGGGTATATTGTATTTGTGCAAAATCCAACAGTAATAGGTAGAAGGAAGCATCTCCGACCCCATAAAGTATATATATTCTTGATCAGCATCAATAGCCGAGTCGATCTAGCCATGTCCGTCCATCCGTCCGTATGTATAAACGCAAGGATCTCTTGAAATTTTAAATGTAGGATCTCCTAGTGCCTGCGCAGATCGACTATGTTTCCGATAATTGATAACCTGCCCCGTTTCCAAGCAATCGATAAAAACCAATATCGATATCCTGTTTTTTGGGAAAATTGGGTAAACAATAAAAGCTAGAGTCTCTTTTATTTTATAACTATCGCCACCTGTTCGCTACCACCCCACAGCTATAAATCAAGTTAATAACTTTGTTTGCCAACCAATTTGAGCCACAATTTAAATGCAATCAACTTTCTCAGAATACACAAATATTTTATGGTACAATACCGTATACTGTAGAAAATTTCATAAAGGTCGGTTAAGAAAACACCAAAGTTATATGTAACTGTCCAATTGGATGGGGCAGCCTGCGAAACTTTAAGAATTTCTGTATACATGTACGACACACATTCATGCGCGTCTGCTTCGCATTCATTCATTCAGTAGCATGGTAATTGCTACTTTTTTCTGTAATGCTTTTTTAGTTCCTTTTTTATCATAAGTACTTAAATATTGGTGTGGCTGCTGAGTAGGGGCATAGCAAGTGGTGCGGTCTATCGCAAGTTGCAGCCCTACCGGGGAAAGTTTTGTTTTTCTGGTGTGGCCGACAGAAAGTAATGCGATCACTTGCGAGCTCGAACCCTGCCAAGGGAATTTTTTTATACCATGAACGCATTAAAAATGGGTATAAGCAAAGACATTATAAACACTAAGATAAGTTACGCCATACAACAAAATGCTACTATGCAGCTTGTTTTATTGAATATTGAGAACGAAAACGAAATCTGTAGCATCAGCTTCGGCTCTATGAGGGACGTGCAAGCAATTATGTTTGTCTGCGTGTGAATATTCATATATAACAGAATATTTGAATTTGTTGTTATTCACTGCTCTGGCAAAGTCTCTTGCTGACAAAGAAACAATTTTCTGTAAAAATTATATAAGTTCTTAAATTTTCCTGTAAAGTTAATCGTTAATATCTAGGGTAATATATCATTTAAATAAACCATGCATTTCACAAGCACTGACAAAGAAACAATTTTCTTAGTTTTTTAGCGCAGATCACGACCTACCCAAAATTTATGTTGATATAGGAATGCATTTTGTGTACTGAGTTTGGCTCCGTACAAATAAATTTGTATTTTTAAGTCGATGCAAATATTTATGTAATTTTTTATATTTCAAATTACTAATTAAATTATTATTATTTCTAAGTAATACAAAATAAATTAAGGAAATAAACGTGCAAATTTGTTATTTTCAAAGATACATTTAAATAATTTTTATTTTTTTTATTTTATTATTTTTTGTTCGAATGATAAAGAAAAAAGTACGCAGGGAACACCGCGAGGAGGCCATTATAATTATAATAGGGTCATAACTAAATATGACCTTCGAGTCGACTTGGAATGTAATTGTATTTTTAGCACTCTTTTATTTCTTAATTGGAGAAGAAAAATAATATTAATTTAATTTAAAGAAATTATGTAAATATTCGCATCGACTTTGAAATACATATTTTCTGCGGAGCCAACCTCAGTACACCAAATGCATTCATATATCAACCCAAATTTGGGATAGGTCACGATTTGCGCTAGAAAACTAACAAAACTAATTTCTTGCCAGCTAAAGCCAGAGCAGTGAATAACAACACATACATATATACTTTAAGGTTCTTATGCATGTATAATTCACGCATACAACGAAAGCTGCACGCACGCTATTGGCTGAGACAAGAACTTTTCTCGAGTAAACACCGTCCAAAAAGAAAAGTGAAATCAATCTATGTGTGCTATTTTCTTAACATAGTTATTGCACAAGAAGCGACTTCTGTAAAAATTATATAAGTTCTTAAATTTTCCTGTAAAATTAATCGTTAATATCTAGGGTAATATATCATTTAAATAAAGCATGCATTTCACAAGCACTTGCGTCGATCGTAAGTTCTAAACTTTTTTGCTCAATGTACTTCGAAAACGAAGCGACGCAAAGCAGCATCGACCAGCTTTGCTGAAGGCAGGCAACAAACTTCGTAGCTCGTGTCAGCATCAGCAAGCCGCGACTTCAACATTCGTTTGTCTGGTCTTTGGAGACAAACAGTCGGCAGGCATGCCGTACGAAGCCTCAAAGGCCAGATGAAAGGCCAGGCTAGAAATTTAGCGTCGCATTCAAATGTATGGGCGTTGCTCATCTTAATGTTTATATTGTCTTTGGTATAAGGGTATATTGTATTTGTGCAAAATCCAAATGTATGTAACAGGCAGAAGGAAGCATCTCCGACCCCATAAAGTATATATATTCTTGATCAGCACCAATAGCCGAGTCGATCTAGCCATGTCCGTCTGTCTGTCTGTCCATCTGTCCGTATGTATGAACGCAAGGATCTCAGAACGTATCAGAGCTTGTGACTTGAAATTTTAGCTTTAGGTGCTCCTAGTGCCCGCGCAGATCGAGTTTGTTTCCGATAATCGAGAACTTACTGCGTTTTCAAGCAATCGATAAATATCGATATCGATATCCTGTTTTTTGGGCAATTTTGGTGAATTATAAGAGCCAGAGTCACCAAACTTGACATATAGCTTCTAAAATAAAATATAGATATGTATTTGATATGTTCAGGGTATCCCCTAGTCGGGAGCTCCCGACTAGAACCTCTTACTTGTTGTTAATGCGTTCGTTACGATGTTAAAAAAATTATTTATAAAATAATATTGTTACAACTTTTTGCATCTACGTTTTGCATTCTCTTTTCTGATCTACAATCGAGATTATAATTGGTCTGCAATTCAAGACCCTACTTGCAATATGAAGATTCAACACTTATTATACCCTAAACCCATTAAAAATTACTAAAAATGGTATATTGTTTTTGTGCAAAATTTAAATGTTTGTAACAGGCAGAAGGAAACATGTCCGACCCCATAAAGTATATAGATTCTTGATCAGCATCAATAGCCGATTCGATCTAGCCATGTCCGTCTGTCTGTATGTATGAGCGCAAGGATCCTAGAGCCTATTAGAGCTACAAACTTGAAATTTTAGATGCAAGTCCTCCTGGTGCCTGCGCAGATCAAGTTTGGTTCCAATAATCGATAACTTCCTCCGTTTCTAAGTAATCGATAAAATCTACGCAAATCCTGTTGCTTGGGAATTTTTTGTAAATAATAAGATCTACAATAAACAAAGTTGACATATAATTTCTAGAATAGTACATATATTTGCATGTGGTGCTAGAAGAAGAGGGTTCAGGGTATCCCCTAGTCGGGAGCTCCCGACTAGAACCTATTACTTCTTTGTTTTTGCTTAGTGTTTCTTCTAATGAATTTCAGTCGGGCACCATCTTGAATTTGATGCCATGTACATACAAATCTTTTCATTGATTTATGATCGCTAAGGTCTCTAACTCGAGGCTAAGGAATATTGAATCTACCATTGTTAATCCTTATGAAAAGTAGAAAAAGGATGAACTTTACTCTTTTTTCTTGTAAAATATGTCCCCGTAGCCTAGAGAGCTTACATTGCTCGGCTTAATGTCTTGGGTAGTTGTTGTAGTGCATTGAAGGCAACTAGTTATATTTCTTAAATCACAAACTTTTTATCTCTCTTTGTTACATGTCACTTACATTCTAATTGTAAAAATATATCTCCTTAAATGTGAGCATAGGCTAATTAAAAGTAATGGACTTTTGTATATAGGAAATGAATTAATTTCTTTCTAATCCAGCCGCATTAGGTTTTTTGCTACCTTTTACACAAATAATAAATTGAAGACTGCGCAAATGTATATTTATCTATTCTAAGATGTAGTATGTTATCTTCGCCAATTTTAAAAAGTGCAGAAGTCTGTCATTGTGCTCTCGTGCTCATTCATAAAAAAGTTGTAATTAGAATTCGGCGACACCAAACGGGTATTAGCTTATTAAAGGCATTATTTCTCCATATTAACAGTACCGAAAGCACGGTGTTGGTGAATAATAAGCCAAATAAAAATTAAAATTTCAGATATGCAGTTGCTACAAAAATAAAACTGAATGGTTTATAGGCATTGATAATGCGGAAAAACACTCAAGATAAAGAAAATTCACTCAGATCGAACAATGAACAAAATAGCTGGTAACTACTAGCCAACTACAACCACAAACACAGTAAGGCGACAAAAACAGGAAAATTAATATGTCCTTTGTATATATATAATATTACCCAGCATTGCAAATTTAAATAATACGCAGAACACGCCGACGCTATTAAAACTCAAAAGTTTCTTGTACCTGTCACTAAATAAGGCATCATTGATAATTATATTGCAGAGGGATCTTACCTGCTTATTATTACTACAATTTGGAAATATGTGAATTTTTCATCGATTTAAATTTAGCGCACAGTCCAGTTTTTTGAGTATTTCCAAGTATTTAGCTGCTTTAGCTAAGATGTGGGCTCGCCAGACGAGTTTACGTTCTAAAAAAGAGAAGGCAATAGCATATTGCATTGCTTTTCAGAAGCGCGGTCCATGGTAGTTATCGGGGCGCAGCGTCAACATTCGTGACATTCGTAGATTTTTACAATTCAGTGTGATATAACAATAAAGAGGTGAGAAAAATAAAAAATTTCTCTGAAATCGTAAAATTTACGGAACAATAATAGTTCTCCCAAATTTAAAATAAATAAATAATTAAAATATATATAGATAGCTAATGTAATGCGAAACGAATATGTAAAACCAATCAATTGTGGACAGAAGAATTCCCACTAGATATATCCGTTTTAATGTCAGAAATTGATCGAAATTGATTGAAAGCAGCTACCAGTCGTCTGCAGTAAGTAAATAGTTTCCAAAATAGTTGAAGTTGACTATTAATTTAAAAAGCAGAAGCCGTAAGGAAACGTGTTGAACGAAGCATTGAACAAAAAATAGCAAAAATATACATTGGAATTTTTTTTCTGGTAGCAGGCATTGAATTTTGTACAATCATGTGGTTGGTAAATGGATTTTCCATGTTACTTTTGCGAAAAGCAGTTTTGCTTACATTGCATTCGTGACACGAGAGTGTCCTTTTGCAGCAGGCTGTTTACGTTTGGTTAATTACATTTCCCAGAGTCATGTAAATGTGAAAATAAACAAGCTCTATTAGAATGATATAAAAGTCGGGTTTCTTTCTGCGAAAGGTAATTTACTCTTTGCTGTTTTGGTCCCGTGTACCTTGCAGTGCCACTATTTGCTCTTTTTGAGGGGTTTTGGTTGATTTGTCAATGTCCATAGGTTGGGGTAGGTCCTGTTTTGGGAAAGGCATGTTATTCTCAGCGTTTGCTTGCTGAAAAATATGCTTTTACCTACTTGCGATTTGTTATTGTCTGGCAGAGCTGATGCAGGTCTTTAGGACGTGCCAAAAAATATGTCGCTCAAAGAATTTTTTCTGCCAGAAATAAATAGCCTCAAGGCATCTGTTCTGTATTTCTCGTTAAGAGATGCAACCAAAGTACTGTCGCACGTCATTCTTGCTTTATTAATGGGGAGCGTTAGTGTACGCTTCATCTCCTCGTAGTTCTTTATAATGGTCAAACTTCCTTGGCGCAGAGTCCTCACTAAATTAGATAAATAGTTCATTTTAGCGTATGCAAAGTCAAGTCTGTTAATGATGGCTTTAAAATTCAGTGGCGTGTCATACTAACACAGCACCATATGAGCAGGGCCTTTTGTTTTATTTCTAATAATAAAGTGCCTGTTAATGTTTGGAACTTCCTGAATAGTTTTCAAAACATTTTATTCGTTGTATGGGCGGCTTTTCGTCATGAAACGTACGTTTCTTATTTTCCCTTAAAGTGAAGTACTGACTTCTCAATATCTAATGTTTCGTTGCATTATATGTCTTTTAATATTTCTACTTTGGTTACAGTCGCAGACGTGTTGGCAATTTTGCTTTTTAAATCTTTTAATTTTTGTTCAACCAATTGAGCCTGACTTGCATGTGCACCGGCACATTTTGTATTAAGTTTTGTCGGACCACTATTTCTCGTGTTCGTTTGTTTAACATTGTTTCAACGTGATTTTTGTGTAAGCTGGATACTAATTCTTCTAGCTCACTAACACTCGGAAGAGTATTATTCTATGTTGAACATAGTTCTCACAAAGATTTATTTTACAAGCAAGCTAAAACGATCTTATGATTACAATTTTTGCATGTAATTTTTCCATAACATGAATTTTAAATAGGCACTCTTCTTATATGCCTTTTTGTTTTATGTGTGTGTTCTTTTCAAAAATTAAAGTAACCGTCCGCCACTGTGGTTTGCGTTGTCTTTTGCAAGTTCATATATCTTGGGCTGTTGCTGCTCGTTTTGTTCTGGGTATTTTATTTTTTCAGTGGATCGCGAATTCATTGTTGGACGCCAGTTAAGCAATTTCTCGCGTGCGCCGTCACTCACAGACGGTACAATGGCAAAGTCTCTGAAGATTATGTTCTCCAGTGGTTGCCCAGAGTTGATTCTGTTGCTTTATTGTGGCGCAGAAACAGTGCGCTTGCTGGATGTATGAACAGAACTGAATTGCAATTACAATATTAGTGCAGCTTAAGCTAAAAATAATAACTCCAAATAACACACTACAAAATCATGCTCGGCAAGTCGACTCAGCATAATTGTAGGCGATAACGAAAACTCCTGCTACAAAGTATCTGACTGTTGCATCTAGAGCGCCGAACTCAAATGTTTGTGTGTCTGTACATATGAGGATTACTTAATAGCTAAGAGGATTACTTGTTAACTTACACATTTATTTGACCGCGAAACGTTACTCACCAAAGTTTGACCCCGATTTCCACCAAGGAGGACTGAATTTTCGAAAAGAGTGAAACCTGAAAAGTGAATTTAAACAACGATTTTTGAAAATAAGTTTGAGGATGATAAACAAAAAAGTTTTATACAAACGTTTGCGTTTGATCACCAATAAGTCAGTTAGGCAGGTCAAACAGTTTAAAATATAGAGATATAGTGCCTATAGATATCCATTGTATATGTTAATTATATAATTTATTTAATTTTTCAGATTTGCAAAAAGTTGTTCACAAATGCAAATATGCGCATATAGTGACATTATGTCGGATTTGAATATAAATAATGCAGGCACTACCAACGTCTTAGATCCTGGAAAAGTTTTGGAAACTGCTGAGAAATTATTACGAAAGAGGCATGAACATTCATTCGATGGGGAAAGTGCCGTCAGTTATTCATGGGATCATGACGACAACGATGTTATTACAGGCTGTGAGCACGAAAACTCTGAAACCACCAATAAAAGATTAACTTTATCGTTGGACAATCAATTAGAAAAAATGCACATTGACACTTCAGATTTAACTTGCACTTTTTCCACAAGGATTACCGAAATTCCTGAAAGTTCTGGAGTTACGCAGCTAAATATGCAGGATTTTGAAGCTCAGCGCTGTCAAAAAATTAACGCCGATAAAACTGATGGTAACAGTGTTGATTGTGATACTTCTAAAAATTATGTTTTGCATGAAAGTGTTGCTTCTCAGTTAGTAACAATTCAACACGGAAAGCCTTTATTTCCCCCCAATTCGGTTAGTCCAACTTCCGGAAATGAGTTGTCACATATACTTCCTAGTGGGACACAAAGCACGATTGCTAGTCCGTCTAAATCAAATGAAACGTGCTGCTCGAAACAAAATCTTCCATTCCTTTTGAAATCGCAATCACTTGACTTATACAATGAGGGCTGTGCAATATTTAATATTGATGAACACCATAACCATCATCTTCCTAATATCACAGAGCATCGGTCTATCGAGAGCCAGTTTCAACTGATAGCGCCAAACACCGACTCATTGAAACATTGTCAAGGTGAGATCATTGACAAGTATGCTGGAGAATTACGTCAACGTCCAGCACAGCGACCAAATATTGCATCAACATTATTTCAATCTGCAGAATCCCGACCAATTTATCCAAACGTTCCATACAGTCCATATGGCAGTCCGTACGGTAGTCCTCGGTCAGTTCGACGCAGGCCTCCTTTACGTGAATCACGTAGAATATCCATTGAGAAATCAGGAAGTTTTCTTCAGCTTAATCAATATAAACTTATGGATCAAATAGGCCAGGTATTTAAAATGTAATTTTTAAGCAAATGACTTTTATTAAAGACTTTTTTGGTAGGGTTCATATGGACTTGTAAAGTTGGCTTATTCTGAAGAAGATTCGACACATTATGCTATGAAGATTCTCTCTAAAAAGCGCCTACTACGACAGGCTGCTTTCATGCGTCGTAACCCAAAACAGACAACATCTCCGCTGGATCGGGTTTATAGAGAAATAGCAGTTTTAAAAAAACTGGACCACCCTAACGTTGTAAAATTAGTGGAAGTTCTAGACGATCCAATGGAAGATTCCTTATATATGGTTTTTGAGTTAGTTAAAAAAGGAGAAGTCCTTTCAATACCTACTGAAAAGCCATTATCAGAGAAGCGGGCGTGGAGTGTGTTTCGAGACTGTTTACTAGGATTAGAATATTGTAAGTATAATTTTTTTCTATAATTTAAAATAAACAATCATATTCGGCTTATTTAAGATGGTTTCTAGTAATTAAGAAAATATTAAATTTAGGAAGATTAAAGAGATTATCTGTCTAATGCTCTAATCCTTATACCCCCAAAATATGGCCAACTTGTAGCAATGATATATACTCGATCTGTATATACTTAGCTAGTTAAATTAAGTTATTCTAGCGGATAAAACCTAAAAGGAAGCTCAAAAATCAGTATTTGGATATCGATTGCTCGCAAAAAGGGAATGTTCTCTAGCTCTTATAGCTTTGAGATCGACGCGTTCATATATATTGACAAAATGATGATGGGCATGGGTCGATCGACTCCACTATTGACAATATGCATACAGTATATACTTTATGGGGGGATACTGTTTTCTGTCATTTACATCAATTCGCACAAAACCGTTATAATCTTTAATAAAACATTTAGGTGCACATTGAGGACCTAAAAGAATATTAAAAAATTTGTACTGACTGGCGGGTCACGACGGGACACATGAACAATACACAGAGGAAACGTTTAAGAGACTGACAAGTTGAATTTGGAATAGAATTTTGAAAATATCTTATCGTGCATTTTCAACAAATAAGGTATCTACATTTATAATAACAGTTTCATAGCATTTACAGTTACAGTTACAACAGTTGTATCTATAGCAGCGACTGTGTCCTGGCCTGCCCAGTACAAATTTGTTGCTTCAAATTCAAGACTTCAATCTACGATCTTGAACGTTATGCCTTAGTGTCCTATAAAATTTAACGAAGATAGCGGATTCTGTAATTAACAGGAGCCACCGTATCTTGACATAAAATATGCCTACCTGCTTTAGCGCAAACGTGCACTGTTGGCTTTTATTACCATGAACAGATATGTTTCATCGCGTAGCCCAGCGACTAAATTCTTCCAGGTTGATTTGGAACGTGCCAAACAACTCACTATTGATGTGGTCCGATGCTATAAATACATCTGCGTCGGTCGCTATGATGGTGTCATTGATATCGGAGTCTGCCAAATCGGGTACAGGATGTCCAGTATGGGTATTAACTGCAGCTATGCAATATTGGATATTGTATCTCTCTAGCCAGCAATAATGTTCCGACTTTCCAGAAAGGAATACAGAGTAAATTCCGCACTAGGAAGAGAGACTTAAGTTTGCACTTGACTAATGATGATACTCAATCAAACGCTTGCAGAATGTCCGAAAAGACAGCAGAATAGTATTTGTCGCATTCAAGGGCATCTAAATTATAGCTACAAACGCGATGGACTTGCTTTGGCCCCTCCGTGAAAGGAAATACAAATCGGTGCGACTGAATAATCTTGCATGTACGGCGATATTATTTTAAAATTTGCATATCCTTGCGTTTCTTAAATTTCATTATAATAACTGCACTCCATTCAGACGAGAGTGGCAACAGCGAAACATGCAATTAAAGAGGAATACCAAAAATTAGACTGATTTGGAATAGACTACCGGGAATTGTTTTTAGGAAACCACATGTAACAGCAACTTTTTTTGGACGAAGCTAAGTTGAAATACGTAAGAATCGTTGCATGCTAAAAGTTAAGTCCTCTCCATCATCGTATTAGATGTGCACCAGGTAGCAATTTTTTAAATCGTCTGATGGAGCAGCCTTTATCCAAGTCAGGATAAATTCCGGAGCTTCAATTCTGAACAAGATACTTACTGAGTTCATGATTTGCTCTACGATATTCCTGTTCGTTTAAATGTATTGAACGATTTTCTGTTGCTTCGCCTTACATTAAAAACGGGAAACGTTCGCAAGCCTGGGGAGTCGACTCAACTTCAGCCCTCACAACCTTGATTTATTCCCAATGTTTTTTTTATTGTGCTCTCCAAGCGATTATACTAAAATCTATAATCTCTATAGACCACATCTTATAACCCGCTTGGGTCAGCGATATAACAGCATCACCTTCATTTTCTAGCCGTAAGTGTAGACCTTTGCAGAATATTGCTCAAATGGCTTACAGTAGACAGTACATCTTTAGCACCGCGTTGTTGCCCCTTGCAAACCAATTTTTGCGCCCGGTCTTCGTCTGACACTACTTGCCTTACTGCTCGCAAATTTTTGGCTAATATGTCTACATTGAAATTCAATTTCACCATTCCTTGTGAAAATAAATGTTTCTCATGATTTGTTCCCAATTTAATGGGATGATTGTTCGCAAGCCTAAAGATGGAAATCACCCTTTCTCTGTCAACCTTCAAGCCCCTTCGATACAAGATGCTGCCACAAAAAACGAAATTTGTCTTCAGTTATTTTCTCTAATCGGTATCAGTATGTTAGAGGCCTTATTTTTAAACTTACATTTTTTTTATAGCTGGCACTTCCCTAGATTCGGATATAAACGCATAATCAGGAACATAGTTAAATTCGACGAAATCTGATTTTGATATCGTAGCGGGTTTTCGTTATACAGTGAAATGATCGGTCGACTTAAGGTGGTTATGTATTAATAGCCGTTAAAGCCTTTAACAATTCTGAACCTTCGTGTCTTACTGAGCTTACTGATGCTGAGATTGTTAAAGTTACTTTTTCAGTTAAAGTTACTTTCTCTCCAAGCGCTCTGGTGCTATTTTTCCAGTCACTTTTATAATATAACTTACTCTAATTGTACATATTATTTCTCATTTCCCTCTTCTAATAGCTATTTACTGAACAAATATTCTTCCTGGGCCTGAGAATATTCCTAGTTGTCTACTATAGAAGTGTCCTCTCTTCCTTTATTCAACCACATCTAATTCCTTTTTATCAATGCCATAAGTCTTCTTTCTTTCCATTTTATTGAAAATAACCTTATATCGAAAAATGGAAAGTCTGATATAAGAAAATACAGGGGTGTTGCTAATCTGTCTGATATCTCCTAATTATTTAAGATATTTATTACTTTGACTTTTCCGCATTACTGCAAAATAGTTATCTCTTCTATACATGGGTGCGAAAACAAACTTTCAACTGCGACCAACCGGTTGACTACCTGGAAACTGGTTAATATTGCATCAGGTGTAGCTCAATGAAGTCATCTTGGAGCTGTTTAAATTATCTTCCTTCTGTTATATCTCATGCTTATGTACTTATGTATGTAGATGATGTGAAAAAAATGCTTTCTTACATCACTTCTAACTGAAAGATGATTTGAACTCCTTGCAACTCTGGTGTTCGGCCGATCATTAACATTTAAATTGTCCAAAATTTATGTTTATATCCTTTAATTGTAATTTGCTTTATCGTGTTAGCTCTACAATCGAAAATAATAATAAAGACCTAGGGTTTTTTTTATTCTAAGCTCTTCAATCTCCAAATTGCTACTGTTATTACTGAGGCCAAAGATGTTCTTTTTTGTATTAAGCTGGGATCCCAATCTTCGGTTATATTCCATCCATATTCCAGTAGGCTTCTTCCGGAGGCGTTGTCTTCCTACATAAGGTAACATTGATTCTCCTTTTCTTCAATTCTCTGCTCCCTCCAAATTATTGCCCTTAATTTCTACGTACGTACACGACAGACTACACATTGCACAATTCATTTCGTGTTTTATGCAAGAATCATAATAGATTGTACTTCGTGTTCTCCATAGAACTCTCTCTAGTTGCTTTCAGGATATCTTCGGGAACTCACTAACCATTTCCATCTATGAGTAGTGCCATATATTGGTGGTGGTTTTGTTATCAACCCTATAAACCTAACATTATAGTCTCTTTTAAATTTCTTCTCCCTTTTATATCCTTTTTCCTCTGTCTTTTTTAACGTGAAATACTCTTGTTACCTAAAATAAATGTAGTTTTTTTTAGTTTCTTTTTGGTAGTAGACTCTTATTACGTCACTCACAAATTCAGATGTGGGGGCATAGCTGGCGTGTCGGGCGAATAAAATACGTGGGTGTATTAGAAATATTTGTCATTATGGTATCTAAAAAGAACATAGCGCTCCATCAATTCCGAAACTTAACTTAGCTTTGTGGAACACTTCATACATATATCGCGTCTTAGCTCCAGTTTATTTTCCTCCAGTCGAACAAATATATTTTTTTTAAATATCTGCATATGTATTTCAGATACTCAAATTTCCCTTAAAGTGTAGTTAACGACGAATACTTTACTCAATCAGGTTGCATATAGACATGAGTGTAGCTATATTTATAAATATTCGCCAATCCATCTAATAAATCAGGTATAATGATTTTTCTTTTTAAATATAAGTAATAGATATAAATACTTTGCTATCTTTAAGTATTATCTGAATTCGGCAGTTTATAGCCGGCTCCGCAGGACAAACAGTTTTTAAGTTATGTTCCTCAAACATCCCTATCGATTCCATCTTGCTTTATTTTCTCCAATAATTTGCTTTCTCATATATTATTTATTATTTTATGTCTAATAGTGTTTCTCTAAGTTGTCGGCACTTTGAAACTCTATAAACTTACATTTCTTATAAAGCTATAAAACGTCGCTTTCATTTGTTTCCTTTGCACTAACATTTTTAAAATCATAACATCTATCATTTGTATTTCCATTTTATCTCTGCCAGTTTCAATCATAAATTTTAATTAACACTGTTTGAAAAAACCTGTACCCTAAAAAACCCATTGAAGACAAATGTGACATTTTTTAAAAATGTGTGAAATGTATTTACTTATGCTGCATTTTACAAATTTTGCAAAAATGTGACATTTTCAGAAATGTATAAGAAATGTGTTCAGTAAACAGAAGCTAATACTTCTAAATAACTTACATATTGTACGGAAGCTATTGGCTGGGATACGACTCTCAGTCTTACCAGGCCCAGCAAGTTACAAGATATTCATAAGTTCACTGGGATTGTTTGCATAAAGGAGGGGAAGTGAATATACCAACCAGACTATACTTCTTTCTGTATGTTCACAACAACGACTCTACCGGTCCGTGCCCTCGCACCCCTTGCACTGCATGCTAACACTCTAGGTTAGGTGGAACATCGGCTATTCCCGATGTTAGCACAAATATGATCGCCCGAGAATACAAAGATCAGTAATTTCCTTCATGTATTTCCTTATATTCACTTTATGCACTTGTTCATTGGCTACTACCCTACTGTATTTCCTGAACTAAGGCCCTGCCGCACTGTCTTGGCGCCCTAGCGCTCCGCTGCATTCTTTGCACTTCGTCGCTCATACTTCTATTTACTGCACATTTACTCAACCTGATGGTCGTTCAAAAAGGTCGTCACGCTCGCTAGCGAGCAGTTCTCTTGCCTCAGCCGCTCGACTTCGACGCGAGCTTTCGCAACTTCACCTCGGAGCTTTCGCTCTTCGCCGCCGAAATGAAGTTTCGCTCTCGAAGGCTGTGTTGAGCAACAGATCAGCAACGCAAGGTTGCTCCGACGGCCGGTGGTTAATTTCGGACTTAATTCAAACTGGGCTCCTTGCCCTTGACTAGCTTTAATACATCGGCACATTGCCTTAACTGTCCTTATTACTAATACAATGCTTATATACTATATAATGCTTATACCCTATAATTATAATTATGAACAATGGGAAGGCTACCTTAGTGAATCCGCTCGATTCCGCCACACTTGTATTGACCGTCAGCGATATCTCGGGCAATAGCCCGTCCCACGAACTTTGGTGGCCCTCGATAAATTGAACCATCATGGTCTTCACGGTCCGGTTGGTCCTGGCGTTAGGATTTTCTTGCGGACAGTACGGGGCGGTGTACTGGACCTCTACATCCAAGGACTTCAGAAAAGCCTTGAAACTACGGCTATTCAATTGTACTCTGTTGTGGCACACGAACTGCCTGGGTACGCCGAACCTACTTAGAATCCTATCTCGGAATGCGGTCTGCAGGTGTGCTGTGGCACTCCTGAGAGGGACCAATTCCGCCCACTTTGAAAAGGTATCATGGAACACCAATAGTATCGACGCAGGGAACTGCCATTGGCTCTGGTACCTGCCTCGTCAGCATATGTCAAGCCGGTTTGAGTTGCTAGCTCTTGAACTTTTGACAGATTTCGCAGCACTTCACGTACTTGGCGGCGTCGCGGAACATACGTAGCCCAGAGATATCTGGGCCAATCGCGACAGAGCGTCGTGGCATTCCTGCAATACCTTCTGTCGCTGATCACTATACACGCGTAGTTTCTAAGGAATGTAATCCTCGTCATCCGTTCGGTGACCTTCTATGTATTCTCTTCTATGTATTCCGAGAATTTAGCCGGCTCTGCGGTGATTCTAGCACGCATACTCGGGTATGCGTGTGTGACTTGGCTACCATTGCTTGTTGACAGGACTCTAGAGGATGTCTTGATAGTGCGTCGGCCACGAGATTGAGCTTCCCTCGACGGTAGTGGACGTCGAATTGGAGCTATTGTAGCTCCAGTGCGCATCGCGCGGTCCTTCCTGAAGGGCTCTTGATCTTGTTCGGCCACTTAAGTACCAGATGATCCGTTATCACGTCGAAACGGGACCTCCATAGGTAGCATCGCGTCAGGCTGCAAGAAAGTGGTGGAAGTGGTGGAAAAGTCCGGACAAGCCAGCACGGAAGCAGTGGTCAAGCTATCCTTCAATTGACGCAATGCCTCCTCCTGTTCTTGTGTCCATGCCTATTTTCCCTTCTTTAAGAGCGCTTTGAGCTGCTGTACATGAGTCGCGAAGTTGGGAACGAAGCGCCTGTACTATGACGCCACCCCGAGACATTGACGCAACTCCTTACAATTTGTCGAGACATATCGTTACGTATCGCCTCCACCTCTTCTGGATCGGTACGTATTCCTTCCCCGCAAATTACGTCTAAGGTAGGCCAACCTCTCCCTGAAGAAACTGCACTTCTTTCTATTTAGCCTGAGATTGGCTGCCTTAAACCGGCGAAATACCTCCCTTAAATTCTCTACTTGTTCTTCTCTCGTTGCCCCTATTACCACGATATCGTCAAGGTAGGCAAACGCATGAGGCTCCATTTGCGTCTAAGGCTCCTTGAAAAGTTGCACATGCCGAATGCAAGCCAAATGGGTTTGCCGCCGCGCATTGGAACAGACCTCTTCTAGGGATTGTGAATGCTGTGCATTTCAGACTATCTGACAAGGATGTGGTTGATCCGGGGGACGGGATAAGCATCCGGAATGGAATGCACATTGACCTGCCGGTAGTCGATGCGCCACTCGCCAGTCTTCTTCTTTACTGGGTTGATTGGGGCGCAGTGCGGATTACGCGACGGCTCGATGGCATCTGCCTGGATCAGCTCATCTACCTGTTCGTCGATCACCCTCTGCATGGCCGGATTATTCGGGTAGTATTTCTGCTCCAACGGCTTGTCATCTTTCAACCGGATGTGGTGCTCAGCGGTGTGCGAGACGCCCTGCTGCCCCTCGAACAGTGCCAGTTCTGATTACAGGAACTCCCTAATTTCCGGATCCAGATCCGCTGGCCACTCTGCCTCTCCGATGCTAGGCTCACATTTTGGTCGCCTAGATTGTGCAGGTGTTCATATCTGCCTAGCACAGGGTATGCTCGACTACTTAATGCCCTATTCTTGTAGCACTGCTATTTGTGAGCTCGAACTCTGTCTTTGTTTTTTAAATTTATCTTTATTACTTCTAACGAGCGCGTTGCACGAAGTGTATTTGGAATTGGAATAAGAGGCCTCAGAGTTGTCCCTATTCGGGAGCTCCCGACTAGAACCTCTTGTTGCATGTCATGGTGTTCAATTTTAAATTAATTGTATTTGAAATGTTTATTAAATTTTTCTGATTAAAGTCGAAATTGATGTCGTGAATAAAACCATTTCTGATATGTAGACACTGTCGTTCGACGCACAAGCACGAATTAGTGTTATTCGACAATCGATCTCCATTCATATATACTATGTATGTATCAATACTATCACTAACCAAACAACATATAGACTGGACATCACATACAAACAACGTTATCACAAAATGTATCGGAGGCATCTGGTTCAAACTCGCGAGTAAGGGAGTAAGATATACATATGATGTATTTTTGAACCGCTTACTCTACAGGAAAGTTCTTCGCGCACTCTCTTCCATATGGTTTGTGCGATAGAACGGCAACGCTGTTAACTTTTATCTCGCTCGCAAATACTCTCAGCCAACAATGCTCTCTTTTTATGTTTAGGGATCGTTTAAATGTGTGTGTGTGTGTGTGTATGTGTCGGACAAGCAAAACTGCGCACAAATTCAATTTTTCTCAAATGCTGAGGCATTTCTACCCTTTTGAAGGCACGAGTAATATGAAATAGAGAAAGGGTTTGCCACGTCGATGCGAAATGCTGGCATTTTAGTTCGCTATCGTTGGTAAGGGTACCCAAGCGTTGCCATGTGTACATTTAAAATATTTTGGACTCGCTATTCACGCATACTTGTATATTTTGTATATGAATATAAGCATTTATGCGCTTGTGTGCCTGTTGGTTGCCTGCACCCGATGCAAATTTGACAAGATTTTGGGATTTCTGGTTTTCGACCTCTACACACAGGCACACACACACACAAATGTGTATGAATGGACAAATCATGGGCGCAAAAGGAGAATTCATTATTTATATTATCTTTATGATTTTGATGAAAGAATGTTGATCCCTGCAGCACCCCGTTGGGTCGAAAGGGTAAACTTTTGGCAAGCACTTGCACCTGCAAATGTATGTCAAGAGACTGATCACATTACTAATATTATGACCAGCGGATGTTTGTGTAAAAATTAAAATCTGTAAAATATTAAAATATAAAAAATAAATATCATCGATCATATATTTATAGTTCTAATACTTATTTTGATTGATAAGCTTTTTCATATTTGAATTTGACGATTTACCAAGGGGTTAACCTTCATTCAACAATTCAAACTCAAATCATGAAAAAATAGGGCGCACGTCAGACGCGTGGCAATAATGAATTTTTTTCCCAATACTTTAAATACTGGAACTCATTCATTTGCCAAACCTTAGTCATCCTTAATAAGTCGTTTATATCTGTCTCCAACAAAAACAATTTTTTTGTCATGCTACTGCAGACTACTGATAAGCTGTCTTATTATCGAGTCTAGAAAAATATTGCGGAGTCTCTCGTTAATGGTTAATAAGCGCTAAACTAGCCAATATTCATATCAAATTAATAAATATTAAAATGTTATGAACATATTCCTTTTATAACAGTGCATTATCAAAAAATTATTCATGCGGACCTAAAACCCGGAAATTTACTACTGACAGAATGTGGGCATGTCAAAATTGCAGATTTAGGAGTATGTAATGAGTTTCTTGGAGAGGATTCTATAATGAGTAATGGCTCAACAGGCGGTACACCAGCTTTTCGTGCACCCGAAACTCTCGCTTTGGGCAAGGTATGTAACATCAAAAGTATGAGATATCCTCTTGTTTAAGAAGGCTTTCGTTTCCTCAGAATGTGTACTGTGGTCGTGCAGCGGATATTTGGGCTTTGGGAGCAACGTTATATTCTTTGATTTTTGGAAATGTTCCATTTATAGCAAACTCCATACCCATGTTATATGAAAAAATAAGAAACGAGGATGTTGTTTTTCCAGGAACACCAGAAATAAGCAGTGATTTGAGAAACTGCATTCTTCTAATGCTTAAAAAAGATCCAGCAAAAAGAATAACTCTGCCTCAGCTGAAGGTAGTACACAAAATTTATACAAAACAAGAAAAATTACATACGTTGAGAATCTATTCACATTTAATTTTAGATAAGCTCATGGGTCACCAGTAATGGGTTGTATTGCTTACCAACTGAAGAAGAGAACTGTTGTTTGGTACAAGTAGACGACGAAGATATAAATTCTGTTGTTCGCAGTATTCCAAAGCTGGATACTCTTATATTAATCAAAACAATGCTTAAAAATCATTCCTTTGTAAATCCCTTCATGAGGGGTATTTCCGGTAGAGCTCCTCAACCGGGCGGTTCCAGATTCGAAAAATTTATTCAAGCTGGTAGATCAAACTCAGCACCGGGCTCATATTTTGTGGCATTGGACAGGTAAATTATATATTTAATTGTATTGCAAAAAAATATTTATATATTTATTTCCAGAGACCCATCAATGGACAGTGTACTTCCGGCGTTAACTGAACATTGTCCTATCCAAAAAAATGATGAATTTTAAGTAATTAATAAAGTTATCTTAGAAAGAACAGGGACCGAAAATAGCCATTTATTATATACATTATTGAACATTTGTTAAGAATACCTAAGATGCATAAAACTAATAGTTTTTATTCCGTCTATATACGATAAGTCGGGATTTCGCGAAATTCCATCCAAAGGGTTACATTCAACTTTTTTGCTTACTATCTAGGTTCAGAGTATCTCCTAGTTGGAATCTTAAACTATAGGACCTTTACTATTATTAGTGTTTATAACAATGTTCTGATTGTATAATTTAAAGAATCTGGGTTGTAGCAATTGTGACGTAGTGCAACTTAACAATCAGTGATAATTGATATTTTAGTTTTAACCGTAAGTCCGAATAATATACATTCTTTAGCAGTATCAACAGTCGAGTCCATATAGCCATGACCGTTTTTGCGCCTGCCTGTTTCTAAAAACTCATTTTTTTTCAAATTATCGTCATGAAACATTGGAAAGGTCTGTCGTTCTGTTGCAGGTAGTACATTGTCGGAACCGGCTGGATCGAAGTATACAATTTAGCTCTTTAAGAGTGGGCTAGAAAAAATGTTACGTTTTTTTTCCAAAATACCTACACAACGTTTTGTAATTATGAGCTTTTTATGTTTTCTCCCATATTTGGAAAAATAAACCATAATTCTAGAAGGGCATTAATTAAATCCTATTTTAAGTATTTGATCGGATGTCACTCATTTTGCATTTTGAAGCCTTCGAGCCTTTTTTATGATTTTCTTTGTATCAGAAATAGACATAGGTAGTAAGTATATCAATAGTTACTCCACCATTCTATCGGACTTATAATATTTTGCAAATATTTGTGAAATTTAATTTAAGGTGTTGAAAAACTTTCAGGTGTAAGCTCATTCGCTAAGATATTAGTGAAAATTTATTTGAAGCGTGTTTCGCAATCTTTAGAAAATTTAGCCCCCCCTGGGTGATAACTACGAGTCAAAGGTTGTATGTGCAAAGTTTCAAGTTTTGACCAATCGGCTTCAAAGAGCTATATAAGACCATATTTTTTGTATTTATTATATTTTATGTATACTGGTATTGTGAAAATTGGCGAAAAAATACACAATATGCAACTGTTTTTTTTTTATTATACGATGTATTTGATTAATTTTCAAAGACCTGTTAAAAAAGTTTATTTAATATGCATTCCTCTTGGATGGTAAATATAGGTCTAAGTTATATGAATTTTATGTGCTTCAAATTGATTATCAAATTTGAGATTGTACGGATAAATTTAACAATTCTATGGGCGGAAAATGGGTAAAATAATAACATAGGAAAGGTTACTTAAAAGAATCTTGAGTTAAACAATTATCGCCAAAGGCGTTCAATCATTATGATAGTTCTTTAATACATTATATATCAAGAATTATGGTTAAAGCTTTAAATCTCACAGTTTTTTTTTATATATGCTGTTAAGGATTTACGTAATAAATGCTTACAACATTATACAAAAGTGTTTTTTTTTTTAAATTGTTTGGATCTTAAATTATTTGGTGCCACAGGAAACTCGTTTAAAAAAAAATTTTTTTACTGTTTTAATGATATGTCTCCAAACACCCACAAATATATTTTTAATAGATAAAATTATAGCAAGATATAAAAAATGTTTTAAGCCCGGAAAAAAATTAAAAAGCTTTCAAATAAATATACATTTATTAACATTGTCAATGTTTGTCAGTGTCTTCAAAGGGCGGCATTCATAAACTCGAATTGTGATATTTCTTATACAACTAGATTTTTAATAGAAAAATATCAAAAAACAAGAAAAATTGCTCCAGCCTGGTTAGAGGATACCCCGAACCTTCTTGAGCTAACCAGATGCAGGTCGCTCTCCTTGCTCAATTCCTTTCATAAATCAAAATACATTTTAAAATACGAATTAAGCTCCCCTTTTTGGAGTCAACTTCTCAAATACCTTCAGCACAAAAACAGAAGAAAACATACGTTACAATCGCAACCATGTAGTTCTGATGGTGTCAAGCGGAGAACCTATTTTAATGACCTGATACATCACCGTTCGTTAGGTAATTCGCTAATCAACCGTCATGCGATGGTCCCCTAAAAAAGATGACTACTAACGAGTTTTTTCAGAGTCCATATCAAAGGGAGTTTGCCGCTGGCTCTCCAGAAGACCAGCTTCAAAAAGCAATACAGCTTCACAAAAACAATAATAAAAAAAACCTATAATGCTTTTGTGCAAATGTATGTAACAGGATCAGCATAAATAGCCGAGTCGAACTACCTATGTTCTGTCTGTCCGTCCGTATGTATGAACGCTAGGATCTCAGAACCTATAAGAGCTATCAACTTGAAATCTAACGTTGATCCTCCTAGTGTTTGCGCAATACGAGCACTAACCATTGAAATGCCTTGCGTTGTATGGTTATTTGTGTGAGTTTTTTCCTATAATCGATAACTTACTCAGTTTCCAAGTTGTCGATAAAAATCGAAATCCTGTTTTTTGAGAAAATCTCGATAGTTATAAAAGCTAGACGAATACACATCGCTTCTAGAATAGTATATATATATATTAAGTATCTTTCATTTTTTATACCCTGATATATATATTCTTGATCAGTGCCAATAGTCGAGTCGATCTAGGCATGTCCATTTGTCCGTCTGTCAGTATGAGCGCAAGGATATTAGAACCTATAAGAGATAGAGACTTGAAATTTTTGCTGTAGGTCCCCCTAGTGCCTGCGCAGTTCGAGTTTGTTTCCGATAATCAATAACTTAATCAGTTTCCAAGCAATCGATAAAAATCGATATCGACATCCTTTTTTTTGAGAAAATTGTGTGAATATTAAGAGCTAGAAAACCAAACATGATATGTTGCTTCTAGAATATTATATATATTGTAGGAAGCTAATGGCCGGGGTAAAGTCTCGATCTTACCAGGCTCAAAAACCTTACAAGATATTTGTTAGTTGCTAGGATGATGGTTAAGGGAGAGGAAAAGTGTTGTAAATGTCGCTACCCTGTCTTCAATCCTCCTACCAGAAATGCCTGCGCGTATCTGAAACGACCTAGCTGACCTTCTGCGTTCTATGGATAGCGCAGCGGTTCCTGCCGAAGTCTCAACACTCACGCAAACTACTGCTGGGATTGCTATCATGAGCGATCTTATGATGCCTTCTCTCTCGATACGCTACACTTTAGGTTAGGAAACATGTTGTTATCATGAACGACGTAATGAAGCCTGGTCTCCCGTTACACTACGCTTTAGGCTAGGAAAAGGGTTATGTTGAGCACCGGCTTGCAACGGTGCCCGAGTTTAGTGTTAATAGAATATGAAAAGGATTAGTATATAAACATTACTTTATTCACATTTCTTTCGTTGTAATTATTATGCACTACCCTACTCTGTTTCCCTATGAAAAAACTATGCCACACTGTCTGCAGCTCTAGCGCTCTGGAACCTATTTAAGGTTATGTTTTTCTCTATTTTTTTCGACTCACGTCTTTTCGCTCTGATCGTCACCGCAATAGTGCCAGCGCGTTCGCAACTTCGCCTACCGAAGCTTTCGCTCTTCGCCACCGAATTGACGTTGACTATCGAAGACGGTGGCTGTGGCGGATGGCGGCTAAATTCAAATTAAAATTCCTGTGCTCGCCCCTCCACGTTTTGAGTTGCAGTTGCACTACTCTCCTCGGGGATCTTTGGGAGACGGCGTAGAGTATTCCGAGGAAATTGGCTATTCGGGTCAATCTCCAAATGGTGGGTGGCGAGGCGGCGGTGGATTAACGGTTCTTCAGATTCGTCATCCTTTACTAACTCGTAAGGCACCGAGGGCTTCGGTACCGGCTAGTCTCATTCCTCGACAGGGGTCCTAGCTGTGGCAGAGCTGGTCGGCTTCCGTGCCGGCTATTAAGGCGTGCTACCTCCGCCGATGACGACTCGACTTCCGACGAGGACGAGGACGACGAGGAAACTCCCGTTCCCGCCTACTCCATCGTTCCGGATTCCGGCATTGATATCGTGTGCTCGCCCGTCCCGAGCGGTATAAGTTCTTCCACGTCCGCTGGATCGTCCGCCTCGTCGGCGACATCGGCGAGGGCGATGCTAACGGGGAGACGGGGGCTCTTCTACGTACGGTGGCGAATTCCGCGAAAACGGAGCAGCGACAACCACGGTCGTCACCTCGACGACTATTAGCCTGACCATCCCGTCCAAACCTTCCATTATTGGTCCGTTGGGAGTATACTAAAAAAGTCGCGACCAGGCGGGGGTCGCGGTGGCGTGCTCCGGCGCCGGTTCCGGGGAAAGGCTCGGTATTCCCGCTGCTGGCGTCCTTGTCCAACGAGATCCAAATAATTTCTGGGTCTATCTATAAATTCAACTTATTCGTTAATTTATCCATTACTTATTTGTTATAACCTATCCTCACAGTGCGGCTTACATTCAACTTAGCTTATTCTTACTACGCTCCTAGTGTTAGTCAAATCTAAGTTTAGTACAGGGGTTACGGTCGGCGTGTCGCTCTCACTCTTCACAAACACGTGGGCCTCCATAGGTAATAGTTTCTCTTCTTCGTCATCAATCATCTCTTGTTAGAATGGCTCCAACTGCGAAATATTGGCCATCCTCTTCTTTCGTTCGCCTGACTTGATCACCGCACGATGTTGGGGGACTTAAGCTCGGCGACCTGATAGCGACCTGCCCTGGTCCTTTGATGCTCGCTGGAGATTGCTGTTGGCGATATAAAAGATTTCTTTTTGCCGCCGTGGCTTTCCTGAGAGGAATCAATTCCACCCACTTCGAAAAGGCATTATGGAACACCAGTAGTATTGTGTTGCCATGTTAAGACCGTGGAAGGGGTCCGACGAAATCCGCTCAGAGTACTGCCATCGGCTCTGCTACCTGTTTCGTCAGCAGACGTCCAGCCGATTTGAGTTGTTCGCTTTAGAACTTCTGACAGATTACAAAGCGCTTCAAGTACTTGGCGGCATTACGGTTTTCCTCACGCCTTGATGTCCGGCCGTGGAAGCGCCATGGCATTCTCTCAATACCCTTTGTCGCTGAACATCAATTGCAACTGTTGCAGTTCTAGTGCCCATCGCGTGATCCTTCCTGAAGGAACTCTATCGAGTTGAGCCGCTTAAGTTTCAGATTATCCGTTATCACGTCGAACCAGTACCCTTCTAGGTAGCATACCATACGTTTGCAGGCACTCTTTCTCGGTGACGGAATGGTTCACCTCAGCTTTCAACTAAAACTCAACTTCAGGCTCGCGTACGCTATAGCCCGCTCCAGTTCCTCAATCGTCTGCAACACTGCGCCAAGGCCACCCACGTCAGCCTCCAAGACGAATATGGCGAAAAAGTTTGGACAAATCAACAAAGTAGCAGTCGTCAAGATGTAGTTCAATTGAAGCAATGCCTCCTCCTGTTCTTTCATTTCTACCCCTTCTTTAAGAGCGCTGTGAGCGGCTGTACCTGAGTCGCGAATTTGCGAACGAAGTGCCTGTACCATGATGTCATCCCGAGACACTGCTGCAACACCGTACAATTTGTCGGGGCCCTCAGGTAACGTATTGCCTCCTTCTTCTCTGGATCCGCATGTATTCCTTCAATGCAGATGACATGTCCCAGATAGGCCAACCAGTCCCTAAAGAGGCTGCACTTCTTCCTATTCAGCCTGAGATTGGCCGCTTATTGCCGGCGGAATACTATTCTCATATTTTCTACATGCTGCTCTTTCGTTGCCCCTATTACCACAATATTGTCTAGGTAGGCGAACGCATGAAGCTCCATCTCCGGCCCTATTACCGTGTCCATGGCTCGCTGAAAGTTTAAATACGCCGAATGTTATTGAATGAATGTTAGCCATTGGTAAAGATCTCTTTCTGGGACTGTGAACGCCGTAAATTCCCGACTATCGGCTGCCATTGGTATCTGCCAGTACCCGTGCTTCAAATATATAGTGGAGATGAACCGCGATTGACGCAACTGCTCGAGGATGTGATTAATCCGAGGAACAGAATAAGCACCTGGGATGGAATGCGCGATAAGTTGCCGGTAGTCGATGCACATGCGCCTCTCGCCAGTCTTCGTCTTGACTTAGACTAATGGGCCCTATGCGGACTA